AATGATAATCTTGTATTCGATAAACCACAAGGACCAATTTGTAGTTTACTCTAACACATAATTAGTGGGAATATATTTATACAATGTTCTTAAATATAATGTATTGGACACCTTATATATAAAATACTTTTAATTGTCTTGTAAAATATTTAATACAAATCTATCATATTGGAATGAAACTCATTACTTTTCAAACTAATCATATAGTGAAATGAAACTCATTACTCAACTACAAGAAGGTAACTGATTTTCAACAAAAAAATATTGTCTCAAAAAACGTATCAATCTCTGTGACAAGGAACTCTCAAAAGATGGCATGATGTATAACATTATTTTCACTTTTCACAAATCAGTAAATACTAATGAACTAATATAAGCTGGAATATAACCTTTAGACAAACATCAATCTACCGCAGGTGGTTGAGAGATATAACAAGGTTCATTCGAATAACAACGCTAGAAATGCTATATGTCATTAATGAAAGTGTTAGAGGTGCAAACAACTGCAAAGGATAGTGAGTTAAAGACATTTTTTTACACGTGACATCTACATACCATGTGGACGAGAGGATGAAAAGGGTCAGGGTCAGGGTCATGGCAATAGTTGGGAATGATTTTCCAATCCTTGGAGCAGAGATGCAACTACTGTCCAGTTGATATTAGGTAGTCAATGAAAAAATACATTAATTATTGCTATTTTCAAAAAGGGTACAAGTTGAAAACAACATTGATATTGATATGATACCATTGGATTTTAGTTATTTAAACCATCCCTTATATTTTTTTTCAACTTTCTATTAGATCTTGATGAATTACACCATCTTTTTAAAGTCGATTGAGTCTGATTTACTTGAAATTATGTCAAGTATCAAATACTTTTATTTGCATATATATATAAACATGTATAACCATTCTAGATGTAAAGAAACACATCAAAACAAATATAAAACTCAATATTATTTGTTTCGTGTAGGAATGTATCAAAGAGAACTTGAGTTTTTTATGAGACGTTCCACACAATTCTAAGAAATAAACTATCATTCATTGAATTAAATATCTATAATTCTTCCAACAAACACTACTAGAAAGCAAGGTATCAGTGACGAAAATCAGCGAGGAAAAAAATCTCTCGCATATAAGCAAGGGATTGAGTTTTTGGCAGATCCCTCGCTGATTAATAATCACTAAAATACTATATTAATAGGAACCTTGTTAAGATATTTGTACCAATTGAAAATGATATTATGAGAATGGAAATTGGTATATGTACCTTAACTCTAATGATATGAAAGAAACATATATTAGAATATTAATGTGTCAAAATAGTGGATTATTTGGGTCATTGAATCATATTTCGTCACCAATAAAGAATTTAGTGACACATAAGACACCATGATCATAATATAATGATTCGTGCATTGCAAAATACACATAGACATCTTTCGAGTGAAATGCAAAATGAGACAATAAACAAACTTACAATGTTGACTTCTGCAGCACAAGAAACGACATCACCATGATAATATGGCCTCTCGAATACCTAAAACTTTTGTAAACCCTGATCATTAGCCAAGACATGAATGAGATCATCCTAAAGCTAAGGACATTTTATTCTTACAACGAATACAAGGTGATATTTGTGGATCTATACATCCAGAATGCAGGCCATTCAAGTATTTTATGGTTCTGGTTCACGCATCGACACGATGGACGCATGTCGCACTATTGCTTACCATCCTGATTATTCTATCAAGCCTATACGACCTGATAATGCTGGCAAATTTACATCGCAGGTATTTGATGAGTATTGCATATCTATTTTTATTAAAAAATCAATTAGTTTTAATAAAAATAAATTGGAAAGAAAACTAAAAAAAAAGTTATAAAATAAAGATTTAGATTTATTTAAGAAATATTATATTTATTTTAAATCTGAAAAATATTAATTTTGAGATTTCATTGATTGGAAATTTCAAAAATATAATTATAACAAAACTTGTGAGAGAGGAGGATTTTATTTTTAATTTTTTGTAAAATATTGGAAAGAGTAAAATATTGTTAGTGGTTGTTTGTTTATCTCTTAATAGTTCCATTAAAAGAGAGCATCTAAATCGTTAAGAGGTAAATCTTGTCTGTTTCTTAATAGTTTTAGAACACTCTGAATGATTTTGTATCATGAGTCTCATTTAACCATTCAGTGCCCTAATTTCATTGTAAACAATTACCCAACAATTATATTTCATTTTGCATTATATCATGAGAGCCTCTTAATCATTCTGACCACATAATCATTCTACACCAAATTATTCAGCAACTGCCAAATAACCCATTAGTTGGAGAACGATTATTTTTATAATTAAGAAACTATTTAATAATTTCTTACGTGGAATATTGTGATTGGACAGCATTAGGTCAGGAGAATCATAAGCAACAAAAACCAATTTTGGGGAAAAGATAGAGAAAAACAAGAAAATGTAATGATTAATGATCGAAACCGAAAAGGTATCAGATAATTGATTCAACGAATAGTGAACTTTAGGCTCAAACCGAATTCATATGAGCTCAAATTTGGGATGAAACTGGAAGTCTATATTCAAGGTCTGACCATCCATAAGAAACACATAAGAACTTAAACGGGCTTGAAAAGACGATAGGCCAAATATAAAAGCCCAATTAAAAATGTGAAAACATAGCCAAAAAACATAAAAGTGTCTAGAAACATATTCAAACGGCATTTTTAGGCTGCGAAAACTACTTAGGACGTACTACTCGTTTAAAGCTTCAAATTGACTGGTTATGGGTCAGAAACAGAGGCCCGTATAAAAAAAGTTACGCACGTTTAAATGTGATGCCTTTTGACCTGATCATAGGTCTACAAGAATAATAGGGTTTGATCTTAACATTACTTGTAGTCAATATTATTATTATTATTATTTAATGGGCCAAAAATTAAATTAAATAACCATAAAATCTCAAATTAAGTTTAGCGGCAAAATCTATAAGATTGTCCAAAAAAAAACGATGTCCGCATTACGCTTTTGCATTAAATCAGTATTAACCCAATTAAGTAATTAGTCTAAAGTAGAGATAACTAAAAATAGCATATGGATCAAGTTAGATAGGTCTTAAATTGGCTCCTTCAAAGCCAGGGCTCACTAGCCCCGGTCCAAACCAAAAATTTTGGGACCAATCTAAGCCGATTACTGGTCTTGATCCCAATTTCACTGGCCTGTTTTGGGATCTGGTTTTTATATGAAAGAATTAAAATATTTTCTATATAAAAATGTTATACACATTTTTAAAATTAAAAATGTTTATATTATTATCAATTCTACAAACATGTCTTGTTCAATATGATTTAAATGTATAACACATAAACGTCTTGATATTAATTTCATTTTAAAGATCCAATCGATAATTTTAAGTAAGATGAAACGGAACGGGACAAAAACGTAATTAACTCAAATATATATTTCAAAACGGGTAATGTAATTCCTAATCTCTCCCTCATGTTCATTTTCTTCTAGAAATGTAAGGGAATAGGTTTTTTGAATTAATTTTACATGTTCAATAATTTCAAAGGATTAATATCATTTTATCTATACTATTTTATAAACCAGATTTATTAAAAGTCTTAAAAACAATTTTTATTGCACAAAATATTATACGTTTATGAACAAAGTCTTAAAAACAACTCATTATGCATTAAGTACTACTACTTTATGCATTTAGTTTTAAAATCTCTTAATCTACAATTAAAATAACATATAGTACAAGTTACCAATGCAAATTATTACATTTTCTTTTCATGTTCCCAAGACACTTTTGACACCTTTCACTCATGTCTTCACCATCTCATACTTCTATGTCTTCTCCCCATCCCCCAATGTAAGATTCAAACTGATATTCACCATGAGTTATTAAAAGTTCTCTCATTCAATTGCTCTAGAACTATCGGTCTCGCTCTCGGTCTCTTGATTCTTTGTTCTTGGTGTAAATCGAATACATTTGTGGAGTTGTTTAAATATGTTGGATTTTAAATATATTGAATTTTAAACTGTCATACAATTTTTTTAATCGATAGACTGTAATTGAAACCATAACTCTTATTTATTTAAATTATATTAATATGTAAATATCAAGTATAACTTATATTATCGTTAAATCTTCTCTAATAAAACCAATGAAACTTCATAATCGTTAAAGTTCACGGCTCCCGTCGTATTGCGCGGGTACACAACTAGTTATACAACGTTAAAAATGTCTAAATGGACTGCTTTATAAAAATTTAAATTTTATAAAAATAAATAATAAAGCGTCATACCTAAAGTATTACAACAAAAGTTTTTAAAACGTTATTTTTGATATTTTAAATTTTACCAAGCTTTTAGTATATTTTCTTGAAATAAATCGTCTCATTATTTTTATTTCATATGCCACTTTTTTTTTTGAAAATTTATGTTATAAAATCATGTAATTATTGATTTTAGAAATCAACTACAATAAGTTAAAATTATACAAAATTAATGATAACAATCATTAATAAACAATAATGAAAATAAATATTAGACAAAAATCCGTTGATATAAACTAATATTTTATCTTCCATCTCCTTTTGCGTCTTCTTCCTGGATATACCTTTCAGCGGTTTCTTGATATCGTCATTTTTGCATCTCCAGAAACCATGTTACCATACTGTCCGTACACATAAATCCAAACTTAAGCTTTGTTATGGTCACAATCACATTGTTACTTCATCTCTCAGTGCGTAACAATGTCTGAAAACACCATCTTAATTTATCCCATGGCTGTTAAGCTACCACCACAACTTCCTTTTCAGAAATCGGATCTATCCATTCGGCTTATATAATACTTTTCTCTTTCATTTGTCCTTAACTATACATACATACATACATATATATATATATATATACATACATACATACATATATATATATATAGGGGATCTCTGTGATCACTTCAGAACATATTCCAGCAAAATGGAAAGATCTATGTATCTTAGATTCATCTTCATCTTTACTTGCATTATTGTTATACCAATACCATTATCATCTTCATCAGATGGTTATCGATCTTACATCATTCTTATGGACAAATCAATGATGCCGTCACCCTTTTCCGGTCACCACACTTGGTACACTTCCCTACTTTCGTCTCTTTCCGATGGAGTTCCGGCGATGCATCTTTACACCTATAACCACGTAATGGATGGGTTCAGTGCAGTTCTGACAAAATCCCAGCTTTTGCAACTCGAGAAGACTCCGGGTCATCTTGCAACGTTTGAGGAGAAGCTTGGCCAGCTTCACACCACACACACACCTAAGTTTCTAGGGTTAAAGAAACATGCTGGGTTGTGGCCGACTTCTGGGTTCGGTGAAGATATGATTATTGGCATACTTGACACCGGAATTTGGCCGGAAAGTGAGAGTTTTCATGACAAAGGCATGTCAGAAGTACCTTCTCGTTGGCGTGGAACTTGTGAAACTGAAAATTTCTGTAACAAAAAGCTTATTGGTGCACGATCGTTCAGCCAAGGGATGAAGAAACTAAAGGAAAACATTTCAATTACAGATGATTATGATTCTCCTAGAGATTACGAAGGACATGGAACTCATACATCTTCAACCGCATCTGGGAGTCGTGTACAGTTTGCTGATTATTTCGGGTATGCAAAAGGAACAGCTACTGGGATCGCACCCAAGGCTCGACTAGCCATGTACAAGGTGTTGTTCTTAAATAATTCGTATGATGCTGCAGCCAGTGATACATTGGCTGGAATGGATCAAGCCATAGAAGACGGTGTGGATCTTATGTCTTTATCTTTAGGGTTCATCGAGACACCATTTTACGAAAACCCTATTGCAATCGGAGCATTTGCAGCAATGGAAAGAGGGATCTTTGTATCTTGCTCAGCTGGTAATGCTGGACCTCATGCTTACACCATCACAAATGGAGCTCCTTGGATCACAACTGTTGGTGCTGGAACTGTAGACCGTGATTTCGTTGCATTTGTGACACCAGGTGATCAGAACTATGGAACCCTAGTTGGGAAGTCGTTTTTTCCCGAAAACCTATTGGTAGATAGGGTTCCTATATACTTTGGATATGGGAACAAGAGTAAAGAAACGTGTGATTATGATTCTCTGGATCCCAAAGATGTTCAAGGCAAGTATATTTTCTGTGACTTTGGTACCGGATTTGATGCCCATGAATTGGAAACCACAGGAGCTGCCGGAGCTATCTTTAGTTCAGACTACGGGCCGTTTCTCGAGCCAAACGACTGCAACTTACCGTTTGTTGTATTGGATCCGAAGAGTGGAAATTCGTTGAAAAATTACATAATCAACACAGATAATGCGACAATCAGTGTTAAATATGGCGAAACTTTGTTGGGTGTTAAGCCAGCTCCTGAGGTTGTATACTTTTCATCAAGAGGTCCAGACCGGCGGTCTCCATGGATCTTGAAACCCGATCTTCTGGCTCCTGGAGTCAATATCTTGGCTGCTTGGGCTCCGAACAGAAAAAGTGCAGCAATCGGAGATGATTACCTGCTCAGTGATTATAGGCTCGTATCTGGGACATCCATGGCTTCTCCACATGTCGTCGGCATAGCTGCGTTACTGAAAGCAACTCACCGTGACTGGAGCCCGGCGGCAATCCGGTCTGCAATGATGACAACTGCCACCATTTTCGACAATAATAGAAGCATAATCATGGACATGACCACCGAAGAAGAAGGTAACCCTCTAGATTATGGTGCAGGACATGTTAACCCAAACAAAGCCATGGATCCTGGCCTGATTTACGATATCCAACCTCAAGATTACATCAACTATCTTTGCGCGATGAACTACACGCGAAACCAAATCCGAATCATTTCAAAGAGATCGGATATTAGTTGTGCGAATGCAACCCTTGATCTTAACTACCCGTCTTTCATCCTCATTTTAAACAATACGAACACCACTCGCTACACGTTCCAGAGGGAGTTGACGAATGTCGGGAGATCAAATTGTTCATATCGAGCGGTGGTAAAGATCCCTCCTTCTGGGATGAATGTTACTGTGGACCCCGAAATGATCTTTTTCGAAGAAAGATACAGTAGGGTTAAGTTTGAGATGAGTGTGGATGTTGATATAACTGATGCTCCTCCAACGTACAGTGGGTATTATGGCAATTCTGGCTATTTACGATGGGTCGAGATGAACGGAACCCATGTCGTCCAAAGTCCGATTGTATCTGCAATCGCGTCTCAAAAGACGATCTAAGATCGATGTGGAAATGGTGAATTGAGGGTGAAGCATAAATGGTGCTGGTTTTCTTGCATAAAATTGCAAAATACAGCCCTAACCCCAAACCCCAAACCCTAAACCATAGAAGTTGGTGATCTCTTGAAGTCTTTAAGTCACAGTGGAAGTGATTGTTTATATTAGAGGTCCCAATTCTTCAAGTAAGCAATAAACGTGATCATGTAACTCTTCTGAAAGATATTTTATTTGCAAGTCTTTAAGCTTTGTTAATTTGTTATGGTATCATGTGTTCTAATGATGTTTTCTTCATATCCATTAATTAGATGGATATATGTTATCTACTCACTACAACAAAATCGGATTTATAGGACGTTAAAAATATTTAAGCATCCTAATATACTGTTTTATATGACTTAATTTATAGGACTGTTATCTAAAGACGTTTTAATAAGTATATATTACGCTTTTGGACGTTTTAATAAGTTATTTATGACACTTTTAATACAAAGTGTCCTACTGACAATTTTTTATAAGATACTATTTGAAAAAATGTCTTATAAAAAGATGAGTTTATTGGACACTTTCTTATTAAAAGTGTCATATAAAATTACTAATTAAACGCTTTGTATTAAAAATGTCCTAAAAAGTTGTTAGGACGTCTTATAAACTTATTACAACGTCATTAAATAAGACGTTTATTTTTTGGTCCTATAAATTAAGTCATAGAAAGTGGTTTATTAGGATGGTTAGAAATTGATGATGTTCTATAAATCCGATTTTATGGTAATGGCTTATTGAGAAAAGAGAATAAAAAGATGAATCAAATAAATTTATATTAAATAAAATGATGACGTGATTTTATGTGATTGACACACATGAAGGAGTCGGATGATTTGTATCTGTGTGATGGTAGATTTGAATCCCGAAAGATAATCAGTCAGTGGGCCAAGCTAATCTCCATAAAAAAGATTACGTTGGTTGTTATAAACTCGTAGTATAAAGCACGAAAAAGAATTACGTGTTACCTCTTTATTAATGAGACCGATACGTAAAGGTGATGGTAGTTATTAAATATAAGGAGATGRTTATGTAAATGAAAGAATGGTACATATCTAATATATATATATATAAACTAGAAGGGTGTTTATGCAATGCAGCGAAATAAATCTTCATTTTAATATTTAGTTTTTATTATTTGTCTCTATTGATATAATACGATTTTATGTGGTTTTAATAAAACGATAATGTTTCTATTTTTGAATGAAATATAAATTTAAAGATAGTATACAAAATTTAAAATAAAATAAAATCAATATTAGTATTAAATTAACTATTTAATATAGTGTAACTTCTTTAATTCAATTTTTATTATAATTCAATTTAGATTTAATAACAAAGTAATTTATTTTTGGTTTAATAATATAATTTTTATTAAGCATAATAATTAAACATTATGTTAGAAACTCAATGATTATCTTAATTATATTTTTAAATTTTCTATATTTAAAATAGATGTTTATCTTGTATTTGATTATGTTTATCTGCAGTTAGTTACACGAATTTAAAAATAGAGCTTTAATAAGTTGTACTTATGCAAAATCACTTGTAATCTCGAATTTTAAATAATATGCATCAATAAACAGTACTTCATGCATAAAAATTAGTTTTTAAGAGTTTTTCTAAAATGCTTTATAATATAGTATAGATTAAACGATATTAGATGAGAGAAAAAACTTATGATTACGTGAGACCAACCTATTTTTATGACACCATAAGAACATTTATAAACCTTCATATAAATGTCACAGGTCTAAAAAAATAAATAAATAAAAATGCACGCCCGGTGGGACTCGAACCCACAATCGCCTGATTAGAAGTCAGACGCCTTATCCATTAGGCCACGGGCGCTGTTATTGGTATCTCTTTGTACAGTTAAATATATATTGATATATTATCACACAGCTCTATAGATAATTTAATAAGCCAATGATTTTTTCCGTATTTATGAATACGAGAAATCTATCTAGATAAAATTATGTCTCAGCGAGAGAAAATCAAAATAATAATGGAGAATCACCGTCAAAAATAGGAAACTATAAGAAGAGTCGCATATCTCATTAAGCTCGATATCATCATACTTGCGTGCATTATTAACTCAAATTTTTGGTTTGACCATAAAAATAAGATGTCGTTTATTTCACGTGAAATCTGTCGAAATTGAAATCTAAAGGATTTAAATAGAATTTAATTATATTTGACCATACATTTGGTTGGCAAAAATTGGAATGAAATATGGGAAAAGAATTGGAATCTGTTTATTTGATTTACTAAATATAACTTTTTAATTGTAATAAAACAATGATAAATTACCAATAACCCTTCTTGGTATTTTTTATATTTAATAGCCTAATTTATAAATAATGTATAATGATAAAGTTAATAATAACATTAATTAATGGTGATGGCAGAAGCGGTGGTGGTGGTGACGACAGTTGAAACAATGGTAGTGGTGGCAACAATGACAATGGTTGTGGTGGTGAGGGTGGTGGTCGTAGCGGTGGAGATGGCGGTGGTGGCAACGATGGAGATGGCGGTGGTAGCGACGATGGTTGAGGCGACGATGGTTGAGGTGTCTTTAATAGTGGTGGTGGCGACATGTAATATATTAGAGTAAATAATACGTGGAATTGGAATTTTGTACAGAAACTTGTAGAATGAACTGCACGCATAAATGAAATTTGGTCGATAGACAAACATGGAAAAAAATATTGCATTTAGATGATAAATTCATTGGCAAACATGATAACAATATTGTTGCAATTAGTGTATATAAAAAACCGTCAAACCATTCAATCTGCCTAACCCAATCGCTAACAACCCAATTAAAACAATTCGTTAAACCGCCAAACTGTTTACTTGCCAAACCACTAAACCGCCATTTAATAAGATTAAAATTGGGTTGGCCTGGCCAACTCAACCTGCCACTAATATATATAACTTCGATAAAACTTTATTCATATCTATATATAATATATTGGTTGTTATATTATATATAAATATTAATAATGTTTATTTTATATATATATATATATATATATATAGGGTTGGGTTCACGTGAGACCAAAGGTTTTTCGTGAGACCCGTAAGACCAATTTATGTTCATTGATC